AGAGAGAGAGAGAGAACCATTCCTTTCAGAAAGTGCTCTTTCAGAAAGTCTACAATATGCCACGATTCTGCGGTACGAAAACGATGAGGAGAAAGAGGAGGAGAAGAAAGGGAAGGAGGATGAGTTGTCTCTCATCGAGCTCGTCCTCGTGTCGTGAAGACGAAACAGACGGGGAGAGATTAAAGACGAAGGGAAGTGGTACCAGCTGGCCAGGAGACGATTCAATCTCTTTCTTTTCCTCCTTACCAACTGAAGCCTTTCGAGAGGGCATCGAGAGGACGACAGGAGATAGCCGGAGAAAGAGAAAAAGTGTCTCAAATGTCACATGCGGGCCTGGTTTCTTATTGCTCTTTCCGTCTTTAACTATCTCTGTTTTTACGGAAAATCTATCTCCGTTGTCCTTTTAGCTTAAATTTACTTTTTTTCCTCTTTTGCATAAACCTTGCATGAATATAATAATCACGAAAGTATTATAAAAGTAAATGTTTCAGGAATATATATCTTAATAATCTTAAGTTAATAATTTTTTTAATAAAAACTTATGTTCTAAATCTTTTCACAAATATTTTTATGAAACATATTTAGAAGATTTTAAGAAGAGGAGGATATACATCTTTTGAAATTTCAAGATATACTACTTATTACTTTAAATTTTTTTAAAAAAGAAACGGTACATTAACAATTATGAAGCGCTCAGATATCATCAATGTTTTTAGATAGATTCTGTAACTGCGCGAGATTTAGCTTGGCTAAGATAATATGTGTTTCTTTTCGAGGCGTGGAATTTCAGTGTTTTACTGCTGAACGTGTTACGACTTCTCATCCGTTTAAATTATCGCCGACAATTTCACACCTTGCTTCATCCAATTATACAGGTATTTTACACACATAGCCATTTAGATCCTTAGCGTTGATAAAGAACAATCATGGTGCAAATTTAGAGAACTTTATGTCGAGATACCGATGGAATTTTTAAAAACAAATATTTGTCCAGAAATAGTTTCATCGAAATTTTTACTTGTCAATTATTATTTTATTTATCTTTATAATTTCTAAAGACACTAAATTTTTTTTAGTTTATTGCGATATTTTGACTTTAATGTTCTTGCTGTTTAATCACGAAATAAATTTATAATGCAACTTAGAATTACACGATGCTTGCGAGTAATGTAACTGTTTTATTTGACGAAAGGACCTCTATAAGATAAGGAATGCGATTCAGGTCATCTTATCACAGTTCCGAC